TAAAATTTTAGCCATTGTTAGAGATTGCCATGTAAACTTTTAATTTTCTGGTCCCTTTAAAGCTACCTCTGATGCAGTAATTTTTTTATGATTGTTCATCGAAAAGTGATGCCAATGATCCAACCTTTTCTGTGTTTTTAATGTTTTTTCAATGACGTAAAACCTCTCCCCTCTCCGCTACGTCAACCAAAACACATTTTTTTTGCTAAGAATATCGCTTACAGGCAATGCAATTTTTTGCCCTTGAAATTCTGACTTTACGATGTATTATTGAACCCCTCCCTGCCATTTGCACTATTTTTTATTCCCATATTCATTAGCATTCCAAAATCTGACCCATCATGGGAGCATGGCCACCTGCTTATGGCCCGATAGCTAGGGCCCCTACTCCAACTCCACTTATTTTGTGTGGACGAAGGATTATCTAACACAGCTGCTTGGGTGCGCCACCTCGCCTCTACACGCCCATGTAGACCTATAGAAAATAGAGACCCATAACTACAATGCTTGGCACACATACAATCTACACATTCTGAAAAGTTGACTGTTTGAGAAAGTTGCCAACTAGCTCAAAAAATTTGACGCCCTGGAGCTTGCCTTGAATGTTTTATATTTAAAAGTTTTTAGGTTAAATAATAAATAAATTTTTTCTTTAAATAGATCTTTTAATCCAAAGATGCATCTTCAGGAATTAATAACACTATCAAAATTATTATGTACTTCTCCTTTCCCAGGAGTAGAGTTTACCTGTGATTACCTGAACACCCCGTCAAAATTTGACATATTTCCAAACACATTTCCGGCCACTCATCACCAATCTGATCTTCTATTAGCCTAAGCGATGTACTCTTTACCCTTTCCCCTTTTCACCGATAAAATCCGTTCAACCCGGTCCAAACCTCCGCTACCCTTATCAGCACGCCGATTTTTTTTCGCAGAACACCCACACGATATTTGCTCAAACCCTCTTCGTCGCCGATTTTTGTTTACCTTCCAAAACTTATGAACTGAGACGTGCAAGGTTTCCACACCCCCCAATTCGCTACTTGAAAAGATTTTCCGACGGCGCCAGCATCCCATCACGCTTCTCCGAATTTTATTTTTCTTTTCCTTCTGATATTGGCTTGCTTTTCATTGTTCTACGCGCTTTATGGGGCCCCCTTTATTTTCCCTTTCTTAGCGAACGATCATGAACAGACGCTCGGAACTGGGCGGGCTCCAGGGGAAACTGGATCTGCCAAATAATTTGAAAGCAGGAGGGGTCCTTCCGCCGATTAAGCCGAATCCGACGCCGTGGCGGAAGGCCGGGTATCAAGTACGACCGCAGGTTGGTTTTGGTGGTTTCGCATTTGCGCTTTTTTTGGCTCGCTTTTGCTTAATTTGAACTGAAGTTTCGGCTGGTAAAATCATCAATTTTTTGGGGAATCTAATTAATTAAAAACATTAGATTTGTACGGCTGCCTTTGAATATTTAATAATTATAATACATTTGAATTATGGTTAGTTTTTGCGCTATCGGAACTAAAATAATTTAGCCAATAGAAATCAAGCTTTTTGTCCTAGTCGAGGTAATTAAAGCTTAAATTTTAGGTCAAAATTCTTGACAGCTATTAAAATACAATTATTCTTTATAATTAAATTAAAACATTTTTTGCAAATGCCAGTCACGACCATTGCACAAGCAAATGATTTAGAACTATTTTTGTGTAATATTGGAAGTTTATCATATTTTAAACGAGGTGCTCAAAAACCCTTCGGTGCTCACAAAATAACCATAAAACTGAATCCAATTTTTTATACTAATTTAGCCGTTAGAGCTGAACTTCCGGGCTAACAATATTTTTTGCCAATCCCAACAAATTTCCGTCACCCTGGTGTGAATGGATGAGCATAAGCGAATTAGCATAAAAGCCCCGAGGGGCCACTGCCCGACGACGAGCCCGACCGGGTGTTCCCGGGTGTGACGGTTCGTTGGGCCGGAAGAGCCCGGGGGGATGAGATGACCCTCACATTCGTACATACATACGGGTGTCGGTTTGGGGCGGTGAGGGCCCGCTAGCATCGATTATTGATCGCGAGACCGCGCGGAGCTCTCTTCCTCTATTCTTCCCTCCTCCCGTCTTCCCGCTGGTGCGATTTGTTTTTTTCTCCCACGCCCCAGCGCGCCTCCCCCGGGCGGTTAGGGGAGGTGGATACCACAAATTGCACATTGACACCGCTAATTTGTCCGGAGGGCATTTTGTTTTAGCAGCCAGTTAGTGATTCGATAGTAGTAATAGTATATACGAGAATGTATTTAAATTGCACCATATATTTCTGCATGGCCACCTTTTTGCATCCCTGACACCAACTATTTGACTTTCAAGCATTTTTTAAGCGCTAAATAGTGATGCAAATATTTTAGGAACTTCCGATACCTGAATCCAAGTCATGCAAGTATTGCGTTTTTGCGGCAATATATTCCTCAGTTTTCTTGGCCTGTTTCTCGTCGCTTGCGAGATTTATTTATAAAAAAATTTGCGTAAAATCACTTGTTTAATCCACCCTAAAATTTCTTAAATTTCTCGAAGCCTAACGATCACATTATTCGCTTCAGTATCTATACCTTAATTTATTTTAACCTTTTATCCTTATTGTGTCACTTGTTTTTAACAAAGCGGTAAATCGCGTGATTAATTTACCCGAGAATCTCAGAATTTTTCAAAGACCGAGTCTTGCGGATCTTTTATTCACTGTAACTCTATCCTTAAATCTTCCACATCAACAATTTTTCGCCTATTAATTCTAATAAAATTTGCACGTGCCTTCAGCCCAACCATGTATTTTGCAATTTGTACATGCCTGTTGAAACCAATACCTCAGAAACAAATCCTCCCTTCGATACCCCTTTAAACCCCTCAGACCATCGCAATTTCCAATAATTTCCGCGCCAATACGCCAGCTGTCAAAATCCGTATCCTTTCCTAGAAACAATCGAATTTTTGACCCTGGCCCCCACACCAACCGGCAACCTAAAAACTGACCAATTTGGCGCGCCAGCATCCACCCGGTATGTGCGGCAGCAATTATACAGGCTATACCTACGTGCGTATGTATTCTGTCTGCACCTTTGCCTGTCTGTCTGTTTGTTTGTCTGTTTGTCACGTTCTACACTCGTGGATGGATCGGTAATGATAGGCTGTCGTCCACACACCACAACCGCCCCTTCAACAATCCTTAACCACAGCTTCCCTTCCGATGCTTGCCTCCAACCCCTGGAATAACGCACAGCCCCGCGTTGCCCCCCCACCACAAAAAATTGGCGATTTCCCGCGCCAGCGCGTCCAGCCCCCTTTACCAGGCATTGATCTCTAGCCCTTCCACCCCGTTTTCGGGGGGTTGCGCCCTGTTCGGGAGGGGAACCATCGGGTGCAAACTAGACGGATTTCTTTGAAAGGTGACTTTGGACTTCAGGGCTTTAGTTGGTTAACCTCGTCGGGTTTTGGAGCAATACCTTAAACGATATATTTTTTGTTAATCTGTTTCCTCACGGATTTTGCTAGTATTTCTAATTTGATCGTTCCCTCTAATAGGACTATATTTATTTTAACATAGCCGCAAGGTCGAATAAATGTTTTTCCATAGCTTTATAGATAAAGTCTAAACGAAAGTTTATTTATTTAGATTCTTCATTGGGTATTTCCCTCTAAACCTGCAGTCCGGCTCTCTTATTTTAATAACCAGCGCCCAAAACCCGCTTCGCGGGCCTTGGGCGCTGGAATGCGGCCCTTGCATGAGAAATTTGACTTTCCGATAGCTTGGGTCCTTCGGATCTTTCCCTTCCTCCCACCAAACCCGCGCGTGCAACTTGCAAGAATGAGGAAATTTGTATTTTTTGGAATTATGCAAAGTAGCCCTCCCTGGCGCTGGACACACACACACACACACACAGAGATGCACCCCAAAATTATATAAGGTAGGATAAGTACTAATAGAATAACAATTTTAGCGCCGCTATTTGCTTCGTTTTTCGAAATTCTCTGATGAATATATCCCGACTCCTGGATTCAAATCACTAATTTGATTCGCCATCCCCTTGAAAATCTTTGAAATCACATTGCTCCCCATTCCATCAATTCCCACCACTTAATTCCTAATAAAAACATCAATATAACAGAGCATCGCAGCTCCTCCTCCGTCCCTCCATGCCCATATGTTTATTTTCCACCCCACCGCCATGACGACTACTGAACCCTCCCCCGCTAGAATATGAAATGTCGCTTTCAATTTGTTTTAATTTGGTCTGCACGACGACGGGTTAGATCAATTCCCCCCGCAGCATTTGCCGATTGCTATTTTGCGAATTTCTCCACGCGCTTATCAGTGACCGAATTCCAGGCTGTTTAGAAGGGATGGGGGGAAGTGAAGGGAGGAGAGACTGGGTTTCTTTTCTCACGCCCCGACATATCACTTTGTGACCCTTTGATTCTGATGGAATCTTGTATATTTGAATAATGTTTAGTTTTTGCAGGATATGGATTCGTCCCACCCGGGCAATCCCCTTTGGAGGGATTGCCTACGTTGGTTGGGCGACTTGGAGATGTTCACAGAAGAGGAAGTTGATAGGTGAGAAAATTTATTTTTTGGTTTCTCTCTTTTTCTCGCTCTCTCACTCGCTCACTCTCTTTCTTTCACTCACTCTTTCTCTCTCTCTCTCTCTCTCTCTCTCTCTCTCGTTCCGACTAGCACTCTCACTCTCCCTGTTGCTCTTACTCTCTCAACTTACCTATCTCCTTTCTCTCTCTCTCTCTCTCTCTCTCTCTCTCTCTCTCTCTCTCTCTCTCTCTCTCTTTTTTCTCTCTCTGTCTCTCTCTCTCTTTCTCTCTCTCTCTCTCTATTCTTGCTTTTTATCGCTAGCTCTCTCACCCAAACGCCTTGTCTCTTCTTTTATGCTTTTTAAATCAATAAGACCTCCAAATCCCGTAAAAAATACAGCAATTTCTTTATTCAATAATTTTAGGATGAGCTGCTCCAACGGTGGCATGAAAGAACTTGCCCTCCGCCTCCGTGACGGTCAGATGCTATGCCGACTCGTCAACAAAGTCGAAGAAGGTGCCGTCCCCGAGAAGAACATTATGGCACCCTCCATCAATTCTGAAGTAAGCTCTCATTTCACTTCCTTCCATCAAAACCCTCCTTCTACAGTTTGCCTGCGAAAAAAACATCTGCGCCTTCTTCACGGCGTGCAAGGACAAATTCTACCTGGACAGCTCCGAATTTTTTGACCCTCCCGATTTATTTCTGTGCCATGATTTTGCAAAGGTGAGGTAGACTTTAACGTGCCTTTAAAAAGATATTTAGGTACTTACGACGTTATCTGCATTATCACATTCCAAGAAAATGATCGAACAAGGGATCGAGTAAGTGGATTGAGCATAGATTAGTGCTTTTCAGTCCATTCCCTCCACGCATTAATGGCTACTCACCTGGCCGTGCCCAAGGCGTACCTGTTGAAGAAGAAGAGATCTACAGATCGCTAGGGGTACAAGGAAATGCTATTCTCGGCAATTTAAATTCAGGAAAATGTTATTTACCATCCTGATATGGAGCTCAGACCCGTTGATTCCGGATACAAGTAAGCTTTTAAACTCGTTATCTAAAAAATACATTCAAGAACCGAGGACAACCACAAAATCTACGATACCATCGTGCAACGAAGAGACTCGCAAAAATTCGAGCCTGAAGATGTAGCCAAACTTCAAAACTTCAAATCATCATTCTTTAGGTCTTCTCTAGCTTCAAGCCTATTGATGACCGCGGGAATGCCATTAAAGAATTGGTGGATACCGAACAAAACTATTTGAAAAAGGTATGCCAATCGTTACAACACTACAGTAATCTATTTTAGTCCCTTGACAACCTCGTTAACAAAATTATGTCCCCACTACAGCGGATCTTGAGCGAGGACGATTATAAAAGAATTTTCATGAATTTGCCGGTAAGCAAAATACTGACGTTATTCAAATATTGATTAGGAAATCTGGCGGAATCAACATGAATTCTACAAGGCATTGCGTGTGGTGGCACTCCAGGATTTGGGGCTAGAGAAGCCGTCCGGTTCCCATATTGGAGATGTGTTTTGCGAGTAAGAAAGCCCAATCCCTTTGCAAAAATGTTTTATAGATTCCAAGAAAAATTTGTTGCATACGGCCACTATTCGACGTATTTGGATGAAGCCACCGACAGGATTCAAGAGCTGAAGAAAGACGATGCTTTCACCTACTCCAAGATTACCGTACGTTAATTGCTAAGTAAAGGTGCATTAATGTATGGTTTAGGAATGCGTTCGAAGCGCCGGGCAAAATCAATTCCCCCTCAACGAACTGCTCGTCGTCCCACTACAAAGAATCCTAAAATACGGCCTCCTGCTTTCCCGAATCCGGGACAATACTCGGGACATGGCTGAACATAGCTCCCTAGGAGCAGCTATGGAAGCATTTAAAGGTTTGTTGAGGTCAGCGACATCTAATATACCTATTTTAGATCTAAGCGAGTGTCTGAACGAAATGAAGAGGGATTATGAAATGCAAAGAGAAACAATGGAACTGCAGGAGAGCATTATCAACCTCAGCATGGTAAGCATTCCCAGAATCTTGAAAACCTTTGCAATAGCCATCCTTCTTGCCTAATCCCGAAGGGAGCCCTGTTTTTGTAAGTGACCTGCATCCATCTAAAACCCCGTAGCCAATAACCCTTGCATGCTAAAAATTAGAATACTTTTTACATAGTTGTAATTTTTATTTTAGCCTGGAGATACGACGCTTGTTGATTACGGTCGAATGTTGCAGAATCAAACTGTGCAGTTAAGCGAGGTGAGATTGATATTAAATACGTATAATTAAGCATTTAATTTAGGTCACAAAGGAAAACAATAACCCCACCAAAACCAAGACCCGACACGCTTTCCTCTTCGACAAAGTCTTAGTGATTTGTAAATCCAATGGAGCCAGGGTATGGAATTAATTTAAATGCAGGTTAAAACGTTCTTTAGGCAGCTACGTACACCTACAAAACTGCGTACGTCGTCTCCGACCTAAGAATGGATCTCGAGACCCCGTTGAACGATGAGAAACGGGGAACTTTCTCGAAGAAGTTAAATACCTTGTTTTGGTTGACGCTTGTTAGGTAAGTACAAGTCATTAAAAAAGTAGGATGAATCTAGGGATGGTGCGAGACTCGATAAGCCGGATGAAGTTCGGACAATTAACATTTCGTTCAAAGACCGGAAGCAGTTGGATCAATGGGCGAATGCATTCGAAAAGGCCAAGTAAACTTTTAGAGCCTTGAAAACTATCTCAACTTAAGTCAGACATTTACTCATTCTTTTTAGAAACAACATCCATCCCAAAGAAGCCATCACCACCGGCCACAACGTCAAGCTAACAACCCTGCCACCAGATCGTGCCCACAACTGCTCTGTCTGCCGAAAATTACTGAAAGGGTTATACCTCCAAGGCTATAACTGCAGCGGTAGGTTTTCAGAAAATTTTGCCAACTTTTTGTCTTTAGCCTGCGACCAAATCATGCATTTGGAGTGCATTTCCCTGCAAAAATGTCCCGGCCCAAGGCGACGGCGTTCAGCTGGGATGTCTATTGCTAGGAAAAGCAGTACCGGATCGAGTATGGATTTGCGGATATATGATTATGATTTGATTTAGTATCACCTGGGGATCATGTCATTGCGACGTGCTCGAGTACGGAAATCGGATGGGCTCCCTATGCAAAAGATGATATTATTATTGTGCAGGAGTTGTTGAGTGAGAACAGCTTTATTGTGAGTTTTGAGAATATCAAAAATTAGCTGAAATGCTCTTACTTAGTCAAATTCAACGACGAATTTTAGGGCACCATTCAACGAGAAGGCGGCCACGCTGGCAAAGTCAAAATCCAAGACGTCAGACGAATCAACTGGGGTACCCCAACGGATTCACCAATCGGAAGTGGAAAGCCGATACGTTTGGGCCGAAAAACAACTACCCTCCTACCAGCGAGAGCTGATATACCACCGTAAGATACAACGAGAATATTGGAAAACGATAACTTTTAGACAAACGCCAACGGATATGAATGATTATGTAAATACCGATATCAGCCAACATCAATGGTATCACGGGAATATGGAGCGACCTATGGCAGAAAAGTGTCTGAAGGGAACTCCATGTGGTACCTTCTTGGTTCGCTTCAGCCCGACGAGGAACAGTTGCGTAGTCAGCGTTTCGTAAGTTTCATACGCTTACAATCTAGATTCATAAAATTTAATCACCTACAAGTTACAACTTTCAATGAAAAAATCTTTTAGATGTGACAACGATGTAAAACATATGGTAATCGAACACAAAAACAGCAACTATTACCTTGACGAGGGATACATGTTTGACACTATTGTGGTAATTACCATTTTTTAAACTCTAATGACAAATATTTCTTAGCAACTGGTCGAATACTACAACAAAAATAACCTCATCGAGAGTTTTGCGACGTTGAATACAACTCTAAAGTCGCCCTATAATGAGCAAAAGGTCGGTACTGATCAATTTAATATTTTCGTTTTTTGCAGCTTTTCAAAGTTATCCATGACTTTGAATCGGATGATGTCACCGGGAAATTCCTCGAACTGCACAAGGGTGATATTGTATACCTTTTGGATACGGTAGGCCAAGACCGCGGATGGTGGAAGGGCCGAATTGGAAATAAGGTAACTTATGCGCATCATTATCATAAAATATCTGATTTTTAGAGTGGCTTCTTCCCATTGACGTACGTCGTGAAAATCACTGACGAAAATGATTCGTCTTAACAAATTGCCCACCATTTTGAAAAAGTCCACATTGCTTCGATCTCCCATATCACTACTGGTGACCACTTTTCCTATTCAGTTTCGCCTGTTTTTTTGTTGCTTCGTCCTTGTCATTTTCATTTTCCCCCTACTTCAACTAGTCTCTGCGACCAAATAACTTTTACTCCCAATCTACTTACTCCTGTGGCTTTCCCCCAAAAATCCATGATGTGCTACGCTGTACGTTCCCCCTCCCGCACTTTCCAGCCAGTTTCTCTATTGTTGTGCTGATCCTAGGAAGCCATATTTTGGTTCCACGGTGACTTTGTAATCCGGTACAGACCCCCGACTTTATTAATAACCAATTTTTGCACACGAGTCCAGGCCCTTCCTTCTATTCCCCTCGGTTTATCCACACTTCCTTCGTACAAACATAAAGTCGATTCCGAACTTTGTGATTTTGGGATTGTAGCCAGCATGAGAGCCAGGAGCTAAATTTGGGGAGCTCAAATTATTCACAATCCTCTGGGAGCCCTTTTTGCCAGCAGACCGCTAATTCGAACATGCGTCCACCCCAAAAAAAAAATTCCACGCGCTCCTTTTGCCACGCCCCTTAGGGCCCCTTAGATGAACGTTGGAGACATTTCTCATCAGAATACCCCCGGCTCTTTGTGCTGTCTGATATTCCTTTCCGACCGACCCCCACTTCCCCTTACAGGTACATTTAGAGCCTATATTTCCATATACTGTGAATTGTATACATAGACAACGATAGCTTTTTCATGTGATTGTATGTATCAATGGTGTGCTTGGAGAATATACTCTTGAGATAAATCTTCTATTTTGCCAAATTCACGTAAGGACCAAGGACGAATATCAAGAATTTTGCACAGTAAAGGTTTGCTTAGAGAATAAAATTTTCTGTTTTATGAAATTGAGACCAGTATGAAACTTACGAAGAGTCATGCAAATTCAGGGATTCAGCGGAGAAAACATCTTTTTTTTGCAAATTATCTCGTGACCTCAGCCTGAAGGAGACTTGCAAAACCCCAAAAACCAAGTTTTTTTTTGCATTTTAGAGGGATGCCGAAGCAGCACAACTGCAAAATCCGTTTTTAATTCTACTTCCTATTTCCATTAAAACTTTACATACCGTTTCCATCCCCATTTTTAGCCCCCATCCAGATACTGTTGCGTTTGCGTCGGCCCCATAAATCCCCCTGTAATCCCGGCCATCCTTTTTCGGCATCCATCAAATCAATAACCCGCTCGGCTTTGCCGTCGCGATAATCTCAACAGCTAATTTGAGGCATTGGGGGCCCCTTTCTGCAGGAAAAGAGGAGTCGCAAGGGGAAATCCGGACGGCCAAGGGCCCCTCCTCCTCCCGAACACCGTTCTCCCCCCTCATCGGTTGCCCAGGAGAACAGCTATGCAGTTTTTGGAGGGCCCCCAATCGGGGATCTTCTGTGGCCCTCCTCTTCTCACCTTCCCCCCATATCAAACCTCCCTGGAGGGCGACCCTAATGAAGCCGCGAGGCTGAGGGCTCAAATTCTCTTATTAAGCATGTGGGAAAAATTTGGGCACCGGGATAGAAAGTGCTGTTCTGTGAACCAATTTGTCAATTATGGATCTTCGTCTCGAAGATTCCTTCCTTTGAGTATTTCGAGTCTTACCGTATTTCTGCCGATATAGGCCTGAGGCTTCAAGTTTATAATCTTAAAAGGTCATTTTAATAGAAAAAGTTGGGGGCTTTTAATAAACGTATTCTAGCGTCTGCCAGCTTGCTCAATTCCGTCGTTTTTTGATGCGTGAATGTGCTTAAAACTGCAAATAACCCTAACAGCTTACTAATCTATATTAGAGGAATTGCAATACCTCCTAATTACATCCGTTTTTTTGGGATGCTACGCCCAATCCGCTTCTGTTCGTCCGTCATCACCACGATCGTGACAAAGTCGAAGCAATATCGAAAAAGTGAGTGTTCTTCTGACTCTGCTAAGTCTAATTGGGAAAAAAGGATACCCCCACGCGTGTATTCACGACTGCAACAGCAGTAATGAAGCCAATTTGGGGAGGCGGAAGGGCCCCGGCCCTCGTATGCACTAAATGGATTCGCAGCGTTCTTTTTCCAGCCCTTTTTTGGTTGGGCTGTCTGGATGTAAGGAATGCATAGCATAAAATAAGGAAGAAAAATTTAATAATTTTTTCGTGGACAATGTAGCCTCACGGAAAGGAATTGCGTTTTAGGAAACCAACCGGTCGAGGCTGTAGAAGAAGCGGTTGATGACGATAAGGAAAACGTCGAAGTAGCTCCTGAAAAACAGCGCCCAGACCTTCTGATCGGTAAGTTACAAAAGCATAATATGAAAATTCCTTCATTAGTCAAACCTGGCGATTGTGTGCTGGCCATGAAAGAACGTACAGCGGCTGGCTACGGCAAATACAAGAAAGGCGATGTCTTGGTTGTCGTCGAGCCCATCGGAGATGATCATTTCCGAGTAAGTACTCACCCTGCGACAACGTCTAATCGAGAACAAAACTCTAAAAACTTTTCTTTAGGGCCACCCCTTTGGTAAAAAGCATCAAATGGCCATCTACCCCCTCTCTGACGTCTTCCTCTCTGTGGCGCCAGAGAAAGGCATGGCTGCAATTGAAGAGGAAGAAGAAAACTACGGAAAAGTCCAAGCCGAAATGGCGATTAATGATGTCATCACCCAAGATTCTGATGCTCCTGGTTCATCAACCAGCAAAGCTAATAGAAACCCTGAAGCTCCGATCACGATTCGGAAGTCACGCTCGAGAACTGGACTGGCCCAACGAATCTCGAACCGATTCCGTCGTCGCCGTTCCAGAACCCCATCGGCTCCAGTGGCGGCCGCCACTGTTGAAGCTGTCCCGAAAGTCAAAGTTGTTGAAGCTGAGGAGAAGCCGGCAGCTGTTGTCATCGTCACACCGCCACCACGGGAAGATCAACATTCACCACAGCGCCCGCTTCCACAGAATATTGTGCAAGGGATTATGCCCGGACCGCGACCAATTGTGAGATTGATTTGCGCAGCAGAATTGACCGTATTTTAGCGAAATCCGCGCGATACCCGGAATCCATTGATTTCGATCGAAAGGGAGTTGGTACAGCGGACGCCACGGTATGGAGTAGAAAGCAAGCCTAAATTAAAAAAATTTAGTATCCAAGCCGCTGAACCGAGGTCTCGTGAATTGCCAATTCCCGCGGGTTTCATGGAACGGGTGCTTCACAACGAAAGTCAAGACTTTTATTTTGGTGCGATCGATCATGTGGAGTCTGCAAAAGTCTTGGAGTAAGTTTTAAGCAAAACTCATTGAAACAGCAAAGTGCTTCAAAATTCCTCTTCAAAATCACTTATTTTAGCGGCTGCACTGACGGTACATTCTTCGTCCGCTATAGTAATGCCCGAGACCGTAACGTGCTGGTTCTAAGGTAAGGGCTGCAGTGGTTAGACCATAATTTTCCTTCAGGTATCATGGTCAGGACCGCCACATCGTTATTGAAACTGATACTAACTATCAATATTGGATTGATGAAGGGATCACATTCAAGTATATTTTGGTAAGGAATTATCATTAGCCATCTAAAAAGTTTTTTTTTAGGATCTGGTAATCTACTATCGTTCTCATGATCTGCGATGCTGCCGGATTTACCTAGCACTGCGCAACCAGCTCAACCGTTATTATGTATGATTTAATTGCTATCTCCACGTTCTTATAGGTTTACACTGCCCAATACGATTTCAAACGTCCGGAAGAACAATTCCTTGAATTGAAAGTGGGCGATGTTGTCCATGTGATTTCGACGGCTGGCGATGCCCGTGGATGGTGGAGAGGAGTCTGCGGGATCAAGGTTCGTCCCTTTTAAAAACAACGATCATTGTAATCACTTACATTTCAGGAAGGCTACTTCCCATTCCGATATGTCAATCCCTTCCACAAAGCAATCTCTAGTTAAAAAAAAGCCCCAAAACTTTCCACATTCCGTTTATGTTTGTATTCTGGAATCAATTCCCTTCATTTCTCCGATATTCGATCGTAACACTATTTTAGAAACAATTGCTAGTTTTATATCTCTTGCATTCCTGGTTGTGCTAGACGTGTGAAATGATTCGTGTTGTTTTGTTAGCCCAATGTCCCCTTTGACATATCCGGTCGATCTACCGTAGCCCCCACCTACCGTAGCCCTTCAATAAATGTACATCTTTTGTGGGCCTGGTGTGTTATGGCGAGGTACGGAGTTTATTCGCAAGAAAAACATGGAAGTGCTCATGCCCGGGTTACGGTATCCTAATAAAGGGCTGCGGCCCCGAGGGATTTCCCGGGGGATTTAAAAGCTGAAATCCGGCGCAAAAAAATCTCATCAAGTGCTCAAGTTCCGTGTTCAAAAGCCACAATTTGAGGAAACAAGGTCGAGAATATAGCAGGTACAGACATCGAATTGATGTCCTTTCTGCTTTTGATAATCACGAGGAGAAGAAGAAAAAAAGGCAGAGACTTGGCGGGGGGAAACAGGTTCCAATGCCGATCGCCTTGCGGCATTCACGCATCCTTTTGGACCGAATCCATTTCCCATTATTCATCGTGCAACAGCTGGAGACACTCACTAGACGCCACACACCTCGATATTGCCTGTAATGATCGACATATTCCTCGGGAAAACGCTAGAAACCCTAATCTCAATCTCGACCCTTTTTAAAGGCGTTGAATTGCAGCAGAAATACTATATCGGCAAGGATTCGAGTGCATGCATGACGGTCCCACAACACCATCCAAAAATAGAACAAAAGCGGCGCCGTATTTGCCATTGCGGATGATCTGCCACTGGCTTTTGGTGGCCACAAATAAATATTTTAGTAGCTTGATGAAAGGCAACGGAACACAGACGTTTTTGTAGCTGATTTTATGATGCACATGTATCGTTTTGAAGTGATTTTGTCCACGTCACGTACGTCAGTGCACTATTTGGAAGTTAATTATAGGCCCCTATAGTTCTCAAAAAAGGCAAAAAGAAACTGGGTTCGACAAGTCCATCATCTCATAAGCTTGGATTTTTTTGTCAAGATCATAATGATCAATTTTTTAGTTTTTGGTCCCAAGGGGACATCCCAAGATAAAAAAACATCAGCATCATGTCTCCTGTTTGGCGTCGCTGGGTTACGGTAGTTGCACTTTCGAGAATGTAATTACGGCAGGAGCGTATGGGGCTATTTTTGCCAAACTGACGAAGCCGGCCGCGTTATTAGTTTTTTTTTTTGAAATCATAGAATATGTTTATATAGCTTCATCAAAAATGTGATAGATTAAGCTCTTGAACTCTTTTTACTGCTTGGCACTATATTCCACAGCTGGAACCACCCCAAAAAAAACGTTGTTCGATGGCGGTGCGGTGCATAATTTTTGCGTCAGCGGGACACGTGAGAAGAGCACATTTCGCGTCCAATTCCACACGTCAAGCCGATTGCACGGCTTCACGTGCCACCAGACCATATTCGTCCCGACCCCATCCCCATCGTCAGGACAGCTGTGCGCCGAGATCAATATGCAAATGTGCCATGGGGTGCCGAAGGGTGGCAGTAGTGACACGGAACGGCCAAAGGCGGGCCAACCTCACCCTCATCCCCCTCTTTCCCCCCGAAAATTTCGCTTTGTCGCCCGCTCGCGCGCTCTCAGCCGCGACGCGTCGGATTGATCGACTCCTGTGGACAGCTAGTTCGAACCCATCTGACCCCTACTCTCACCCCTCTCCCCACCTCGCGCTCTCTCGCCCCAACCCAATTTTCTCTGCCCCCTCCTCACCCTGTGCGTAGAACACTGCTTTTCGGTGCGGAACGCCTTGGCTCGAAGCCGTCGACGCAGCCCTTTTGTTCGCGGCTCGCATCGTTTTTTCTACCTAATTCGCCTAATCCGCGATCCATTAGACGCCCCCCTAAACAAGAGGTTTGCTTACGCCACTTTACTTTAAAATTGGTCACCGCTTTTCAGGATCAGCGGCCTCTAAACTTCTAGCCCGGCCCCGGCTTTACGGTTTTCGACAGTATTTTGAATGTGTTGAAAAAGCAGCAAAAATAGCACCCAAAAGGTCAGTTGTCTTGTGTTTTTCTGCAAAAACGATGCGCTACTGCAAAATAGAGCCCAATATCGGAAACCGATAAATCTGCGGATTCGTTTTTCCAAGGGTGTGAGAGCTTTCACATCCAAGGGAACTGCTATGGCAGCCCTCTAAACTACAATAAATTCAAATAAGGGGAATATTGAGGTGTATATAAGCTATTTCTCCACGATTCATCAGTCACTTCCAAATGACCTTTTCCAGAAAAACCCCACTTCTCACTCTGGAGTCCCCGATTTTCACCACGTCTTCCAAGTTATGTCTACTGCCCCAAAAAGCGCTGCGAGCGCCACTACTGCGCAACGAGGTTCGTTTTGTGATTTTTTTGTTTCGTTTTTGTGAAGTCCTTGATGTTGTGCTCGTGTATGCAAATGATAAGCCCAGATTCAGGTGGACGGCTTCTAAACGTTAATCAGGTTTACGCGGGCAAGCAGCCCCCTGCCGGGCGCAGCCTTGGTAAGTAAATTTATGGAGAACTAAAAATCAATGCAATGCCACTCTTGACATACTCTGGGTTGAAATCGAGCTTTTAAGATGTAAATTTTGGTTTTTGCCTTCATAAATCAATTCTTTATCGCGGAATTGGAATAAAAAATGGGACAAATTAAATCGGAAGAAGATTTTCATGGCGCATTAATTTATATTTATTCCAGGAGGGCGCAATGGCGGTCTCCAGGCGGTCGGCAAATCTTTGGGGGTCATCCGGCGGATGCCCCCTCCGGCTACACTGCCATCATTGAGGGCCGAAAGCCATGGGCAGGATCCGGAAACGCAAATTGTTCCACAAGGTTGGTGATCTAAAATTAGCTAATGAGTTTTGACTGTAACGATACCTTTCACCCTTTTTAATGTACGTTTATGATAAATGATATTCTGTTCTGGTTTACTACTACCAATTTTCTCAAGCAATATCCTATGCTCCCACCAGTAATACGATGAAATCAATAATACGCGGCTTTTCCAGGCGGCTCTGGCTGGAACAAGGAAGCAATCCCGGGTTATGAGGGCAAGCCGGCCCCACAGACGGCCCCCGTTTCATCCGTCGACCTACGGCCCAACTGGGCAAAAAGCCCGGAGAGTGCAAAAGAGGGAAATGGCCATCAACAGCTACGAGAGTTTCCGGCTCTCAGCACCGACCGACGTTCCGGATCATCGTTGCATCGGAGGAGTGGTATGGAGGAATTTTAATGAAACTAAGACCTAATTGATTTTAGAAAATCACGAAGATGGCTCCTGGCATTCGACTGCTGGTTCGGTGGACGTTGACGAGTCTCTCCCGTCTCGATATTATGAAGCTCCACCAAAGCCTCGTTCGGAATCCCTTGGCACGTCGCCAAATCCAAGTAATTTTTCCTAACAAAAACTCATTGGAATGTTTTACGAAATTTTATGATCAAGAAACAAAAACTCGTGTTGATTTTTTCATTTTGAGGAAATATAATAGCCAAAATCGGCAATAGAATTGGCATTCTGTAAATTGGCACTCGTAAATCGGCATTCTGTAAATCAGCATTGTGTAAAATCGGCATTATCAGCTGATACCAAAAACCTCTTTAGAAGCGAGCTCTGATGTTCGGTCCTCACAAACACGAGCTATCTCTCCCCCGTCTCGTCGATGGACTGAGAGCATCTCTGAAAGCTGTAAGCCTATCTATTAATACCAATATAAATCTTTCTTTTCCAGTCGGACCCGAATCACCCCTATTCGAAAACCTCGACATGAAGATGGACTGGGCGGCCGAGATGGAAAATGTAAGCCAAAAGCCTATTTTCAAAAAAATTTTCGGATTATAGTCGTGCGAAGAGCCGATGCCGGTGGCGACAAAAGCGGAGGAACCAAGGAAGAATCCGCGTCGCTGGGATACGCAAGAACCCGCCCCGCCACCCGAATTCAAGCTGCTCAAGCGTGGTGATCGCCGAGACTTGGATAGCGATAATGAAGGTAGGACACCCAGCATGCCAATTTTTATCGAAATATTTTAGAGCATGCTATGACCAAACTAGCCGCTTCTTCGCGGATTATGAAGCGATCGCCGAATGGAATGGAGATCCTTCCGGAAACCGGTCGAGAACATGCCGATGTACCTCCAGAACCTACTTATAAGCGCAAGGAGGAGTTGAAGCGTGAAACGGCTTCTCCGCCAAAGGAAGTGCCGACGAAAAAGGTTGGTCTATTCCTTCTCAAGGGCTTTTATAACTACCAAAAACTGTAATTAACCACTAATTTCAGGAGAAACCTCCACAACGATCAGCACCTCCCAAAGCCAAGAAGGAAGAAATCCCTATCCCTGAACCAAGTTTTGACAAATATGAAGAAGCTATCATCCCAGCCCCACCCCCACGCGACAATATCTGGGATAAGCGCCGTGAAGAACGCGAAACGGAAGACAAAGACAGGGCACCAAGACTTCCAAAAAGTGTCCAAAATGCCCTCGAGCAACACTTCCCTTCTGTCCATGAAGCCGCCAAGATGCCCCAGGATAAGCAGTTGTCCAAGAAAGCGTCTCAGGTGCAAGACAATGAATTCGCCCGTGCCGCCATCAAGGCCCGCCATGCCGGCCCCAATGATGTCCGAGCACTTCAGGTATTTTTACTACGAATATTGGATTTATCTGTTAGACAAAGACTATCAAGCCGCGGCGCGAAAACCCTGCTTTTGTGGAGAATAATGAAGAACGCGCACCACCTGCGGAGAGACCTCAACGACAGCCTCAGCGGGTATCTCCGCCGCCAAGGTAATTTTCCGAGCTTGAATTATATTTTGTCAATAGGGAGTATAATAATGAATACAACGAAGCTCCGGTTCCCAACGAGCGCCCAGTCGATCAACCGGTGAGAAGGCAACCGAATGAGAATTGGGATGACTATGGAGAGGAGTATGGACAGGTGGGGCAATTGATTTAGTTCAATAAATCGATGTTCAGGGCCCGCCACAAACTGGGCCTCGAAGGCCGTATGTGAAGCGGGGTGGAGAGGGTTATGAGAACTACCCACGACAACCTTACATTCCGCAGAACTATCAGCCACGTCCCTACCGTGCACAGCAACAGTACAACAACTATGGTAGGCTTAATTGTAGATTTAAATTTGCGCACTAGTGAAGATAAGCTACCCGATAAATTAAGTAGCTGCTTAAACATTTTAATAATTAGCTGAATAAATGATGGTTAAAGAGACGATTAAAAGAAAATAAAAATTAAGTAGCTTTATTAGTATTTACGCTATTTTTTTTGAAAAGGCGCTAACCCGTCTTTCAACACTTTTCTTAATTAAATGAACAAACTTAATAAAACTACTTTAGAAGAACCCACCGAAGAGTACAATGAAGAAGAAGGCGTCGCCCCTGTCGTGACTGAGAATGAACCCCAACCGGAGAGAAACGGTGTCGACGTTCCTCCGGTCTCGTTGCGGGGAATGCCAATGAGGGGACGTGGCAGAGGGTAAGCGCTTGTGAAGGCTTGGCTTGAATTCATTTGATTAGAATGGGGACGGCCGTCCGTGGAGGAAGAGCCCCGCCCAAGCATGAACGAGTCGCTTACAATGGGCCATTACCCCCAAGGAAGCCGTATATCCCGCAGAACGTGGTTAGTTCAACTAGAAAGTTCTAACTTTTCTAAGAGTCGGGTAAACAAATTTTTCGGTGTTTGCGAATGACCTATTCTTGGTACACTGCTTTTAGCTAATAGAGCACCACAAATTTTCATTTAAAATTTAAGTTCGACTCAAGTAATTGACTTACTTGACTAAAAATTACGTGAATTTTTAAGTTTTTTTGACGGCATCTTGCATAAAATCTGGCCAAATGTTTTAAAAAACTAGATTAAGGTATCTAAATTTGATGATTAGGCGAAATTGATGCCCCTAAAGCAACTGTCGTTTGATCTGCCCTTTTGAAATATTCATATTTGTATTGTCCAGGCCTACGGAGATGCCCGTCGTGGTTCACAAGATCAACCAAAAGAATTCCTAACCGATAAGGACGAGATGATCGAGAAAATGGAATCCGTCACAATCCTCTCCAGGGAAAAGCCGGTCGAGGTAAACCGATCAAACTTTCTTAAATATATCTTTAGAAAACAACCGATCCAAAAGATCCAACACCACCTCAACCACCCCAGCAGACTTTTGTGCGTGGCAACGGTCATGTGGCACCGAAGGAAAATACGCGAGGAAGAGGTGGAAAGGTCAATCCTACTCCAAGGCCCAAGCAACAGCAACAACCTTATCAGAAGAAACCTTACAACGGACAGGTTTGGACACAAAACACCATCTTACATAAATTTTTTAGGAACCTGGGAACTACAAGGCGGAGCCCAAACCACCCAAGGCAGCAATGGCCTCCGGGGAACCTTACCAGAAGAAACCGAAAGAGCCCAGGGATCCTAATTTGCCACCGAAGAAGCCGTTCCGTCCTCAAGGAGAATGGAAGCGGGGAGAAGCCGTTAAGAAATTCAACAACAACTACAAGCCAAGGTATAGACCAGTCCAAGATTCTAAATAATGCCTATTCAGGGAAAACGGCGAAAAAATCGTACCCGACATGAATACGGAGAGTGAACTATCGATCATCCCGGAACAAGCACCCATGATGGATCGACTAAAGAGCCCCGTCAATTCATCTGAAGGAAACGACGAATGGGAGACCGCTAGCGAAAGTAGCACTAGGAGGCCGGAGATTGAGTGGGTATTTTCATATCTATATATTTCCTTAAATTTTCTGAATAACTAATAACTTTAGGAACCCAGTACCGGCGCCAAAACCACTTACCAACGGCAAAGAAAATGTCAAACAAAAGCCTGCGAGGGCCCCGACAAAAAACGGCCAACCCGCCAGCCGTACATCCCCGTCGCGCTCCGGAGAAAAGCAGACGCAACAGACCAAGGGAAACCCGAATAAAGGTAACATTCCTTATTAAATATTTATTTATTTTTTCTAGGGGATCGGCTGGCGGGTGTTGATATTAACAACATCTCTTCCGTCATCGTCATCGATAGCATCATGCATCCGCTTGAAGGAGAGGTCACTGAGTTTGAAGAAGTGCTCTCCAAAAAGCAGAAACGCCAACGCGCCGTCGAAATTTCGCAGCAATTGGCTGCTGAAGAGAAGAAGCGGCAAGAAGCTGAAGAAAATGATGCACGATGGAAGGCCACCAAGGAAAAACGCGCCCAGCGCAAGGCCAATAAGGTCGCCACCAAACAAAAGAAGAAGGATGAGAAGAAGACCACCCCAGAGGGTGATTCGAAACAAGAGGCAATTAATAAAAAGGAGGAGGTTGGAGCCAAAATTACGACCGTCTGGAATAGTGCTCACGTTGAGTCGGGACTTACTTCGGCCTTGGACACACCTGTCGTTATCCCATCGCCGATTGCCCGTCCGACCAAGAAGCCAGATCCGGCCGAGTTCAATTGCGATGAGAAGCTGGTGATCTATGAGAAAGGAACACCGATGACGACCAGGTCATCGGAGCATCTAGACTTTACATATGATCCGAAACTTCAACAACGCTCAGCGTCTGCACAAGAAACAACGCTGACTAACATTGACTCGAACAGTAATGAAGAGCGATTGAAGGAGAGGTTGGACAAGATCAAGGATATTTGGCCTGGAAAGGACGATGGGGCACTGCCAGCTAATGTGGCCAAGGTTAAGCCTCAGCCACAGGCTATTGAGCGCGAGTTTCTTGAGAGCAAGCTCTCTCAGGCACCACCCATTACTCCACGCGGTGTGGGTGCTGGAGCTCCGTTCGGGAACCTGAACGTGCTGCCATTCTTCGGTCAGTACCCGCCGATTCTGAGCAACGATCGGACTATCATGGACCCGAATGGTGCCAGCAGCCCTCCAGCTCAATGGATGCCACAGCCGCAGATGCCGCCGAGCCGTGCGGGTCCACGCCATAACTTCGAGCCACCGATGCCACCAAATCAGCCGGTGAGTACGGTTTTTAATAATAATCCTAAATATCGTATTTTCAGATGTTCTACAACCGGGATTACGGTAGTTCTTCGATGTGGGGACCACCGACGAATCTTATGGACGGTCCGATGGGTGCAACCCCACCGCCACCCCAACCGCCGCCGCAACTTCCAAATCGGATGCCGATGAATCGATTCGGGAATGATGGACCAGCACCGACCCGGAACTTCTACCCATCGAATGGAAATCGGAACAACCCTCCGATTGTAGGTTTTTTTGAAAAGGTTTCATTATCATCAAATTGTGCAAAAACAAATATTTTTTTTTTGTTATCAAATATCTTACCAGTGAAGCCTAATGTTAAAATCTAAATTTCAGATCTTCCCACCGGATCTGATGAGCATGCCGCCACCTACTCTTCCAGGACCTCGGGATAGAATCAATCCAATCGGCCCACCGCCTAACATGCCGCCATTTAACATACCAGGTTTGTGAAAAATTAAAATGAAGTCAGATTCAAAAAAGAATTGCCAATTACATCCCAATTCAACCTTTCAGGCGGGCCATTCGGCAAGCAGCCGTTCAGCAGCCCTCCTCCAATGTTCAGTGCCCCACCTCCAGCCCCCATGGCTCGTTACAATCCGGCTTCACGAAATGTGCCCCCTCCCGATATTTGGTCAAAGCCGCCGCATGGCCATCGCTTCGCGCAAGGCCAGCAGAATTTTCATCAGACCGGTAAGTGGCTTAGACAGCAGTGCAGAAGCCCATAGTTACTAAAAAAATTACATCCTTTAATAACGTTAAAGAATCGTGTATCACTCCATCAAAAAACTCGTTTTTCAGGAATGAACGAATTTTGGAATGGTATGGACCGTACCTCGGTCCCACCTCCAAACGCACGGCATCACAACGGCCACGGTGACCGTGATTCAAAGTAGGACTTTAGCAATTCCCCCCAAAATACCATTCTTTTGGTGCCGCTGTTGATTCAGCTTTCCATTCTTTTTTTGACATTTTCGCTATACCCTTATTTGTGCCCTATTTGACGCTACTTTCTACCCTTCTCACCTGTAGTCCCTTTCCAATTGTAGTCATTACTGCGGGCCGTGTCCCTTTCTTGAAAATCGAGTATCAAAACAGCTTTCATGTATAATACGAATGGCGTACTGTTAATTCGAATGTTGCTTCTCTCTACGTTTTGGGTATCATGTTTTGCAATGTCCTTTTGTGTTCGTTTTGTGTCCGCAGCCAATACTAAGGGCCTACCGCTGAACCATGGCCTTTCACCGAAGTTGTTCGAAAACTACGAAATTCTTGTGTATTATCCTTTTGCTGTTTAGTCCATCTGTCTGTCTCAAAGAAAAAGTCGAACTCGATCCTCAACTATTTATTTCCTGCGCGCCTGTTAGCACTGTGTTTTCCCCCCGTCTCATTCTAGTGGTTAGCGATGTTTTATCTCATTTTTCATCGGTGTCTGCTGGATTCTCATACTTATGATAATAAACATGTCCCCTACTCGCTGAGCTGAACAGGCATAAATATATGTATAAAACCAGTTTATGCATACAAGGAATGATGAAGAAGGAGTTTACAGAGAGTTCCAATGTTAAGGAGCAACAAAAACAACGTGGGGTCGGAAAAACAAATGGTGGTTTCTGGAAAATGAATTTGTGTAGGATATCTGCAAAAATAAAGCGGTTTACAAAGCGGAAAAAATCAGGATATGTGATAGGGAGAGGATATTTGAAAGTGCCGGGTACAAACGTGAAAGCTTCAAAGTACATAAATTCATCCACGCATCCCATACCGACTCTGGGCATGTTGCATCACCTTGTTTCGGCGCTAAAAATAATTTTTTGAATTTAAATAGGAAATATATTTCTAATTAATTAATCTAAATGAATAAGCTATACATACCGCGATGATCAGCCGGTAGTTATGCATCGCCACTTCGGCAGCCATATTATGCTGGTAGACGTAGCTGAGCTGCTCGCTGAGCTTAGCCAGATTTCGCGAGTTGTAGCCGATCTCAAGCTTTGGCAGCTTCGCGTGGCGCTCGTCCTTAGAATCATACGTAAAGCACGGCAAATGTGTATTACCTGAACGATGAACTGCTCGGCCATGTCGGTAATAATCGGGTGTCCATGCGGCATCCAACGGCGAAGCGAGCGCAAAGCCTGTTCGGCCTCTTTTTTCAGCTTAAAATATAAATATTGGTAATGAATAAGAAGGGTTTATTACCATAATGCGACGACAGGTCATAATATCATAATTTGCCAACATCCGGTCGCGAGCGGCGATGAGGCGCTCGACAATCTCGTAGTCCTCATAAATCAGGAAAGAAGTAATGTCCATCTAAAGGATAAACTAAGCTTTACTTTTTGCAAGCACTCCAAGGGAATAAAGGATTTAGAATGAAAAAGAACAATGGAAGTAAATCCGGTGTGCAGTGTCACGGGATGGAGGCATGGCAACCGGTTCTGAATGTTGGTCCAAGGCACCTGGCAGCCCTTGGGGCACCTGCCGTTTCTATGGATAAGACGTCGGCAAAATGTCTTCGAACTTTACAAACCCCGTAATTACCCATAAATTATGTATTCGAGCTAGTTCCTTCGAAAGCCTGCGATGAAAAGTGACCAGCTGTTTTCAAATGCTGCAAAAACCCGCACGTGCCCCGTTGACCTTTACGAAATGAGATAAGGCCTATTCTCCCAAGCCTCATATTTCCAGCTAGCGTGCGATTTTGAGCGCTAGCCATAGCTGAAGCCCCGGGGTCGACTAGGTAATGCCCGAAAATCCCCCGTAAAATTTACGACGGATTGGGACGGTGGAGCGAAGCGAACGACCAACCCGCTAGCCCGTTCCCATCATGCGTGGTCGCATAAAAACAAACTTTTGAGCGGCCAGGGAGGAGCCGCACTACCGCAGGAGAGGGAGATGGTGCGGGAGGAGGACCCTTACGAAGATAGAGCCTAGTAACTAGAGAGTACCCGACTCAAAAGCCGTCAGTGTGCCCGTCTGACCCGTTTAGATGGGCCAGCCCCGCCAAATTAGCATCACTAGCATCCCTGGGATTGCTCGGCAAGGAGCTTCTTTTTTCGGGGGGCATCAGGTTGCTCGGCAGGTTCCACGTTTTTTGCGAATATTTCTTTGGCATCCTCAGGAGTATCTTTAATCGAATCTGGCGGGATCAAAATAGAAATTTTGCCTACGATAAAGATATGTAAGTACTGGGCCGATATTTAATTGATCCTCACGGGAATATTTTCATTTACTTATGGCTACACATTAATGGGCAATATTGCTAATGGGAGGGAAAAAATCGGAAACACCAGCCGCTCGGCCAAAGCCACCGAAATTGCACGTTCTTTGTGGGTTCTTTGTGCGCTAAAAGGGCGCATGTACCGTTTGGCGATCCTGCTTAAAGATAGTCAAAAAGCTTTATACATTTTCTCAAAGAGCTAAATACATAAATTCATCTGGAAATATATACAGAGATCAGTTAATGGCGACGCAGGCAGGTTCGTACGCATTCATCGCGGTGAACAAACTGGTATGGTAGCTGGCAGCTGTTCGAGTTCAGTTCCGATCGGCACTCCTCGCTATGGCGATCGTAGTAGTAGTAGGTGGTTGGGACGGGTCTACAATAAAAAATATTGAAGCATGTATCGAAATTATGTTGTTAGCCCGAAAAAACGACTTGATTGCAAAGCCAGATCAGGCAACCTATAGGCAGATAGCACCATGGGGCTGTTCAGACGATCGCCGCGTAATTTTGCACCGCTCATTCACGTGGGCTCCATATCTTTCACGGCTTGTTGCCCGCTCCCAACTATGGCGATGCCCGCGATGCGAGTGGTGATCTTGAAAAGTTTAACTTGGAACATTTTCTGTTCTTTATTAGCTCTAAGTCTGCTAACGGCTTAGCTTACCGCCTGCTTACTATACAAAAAGAAAGGCGACAAAAAATTCGATACGCGATCATTTAGATTTTCGATTCTTGATGATTTCCTACTTGATGATTACAAGGAATTTCCTTGTAAACACTGGACTACTTCTGTACAAAAAATCGACAAAAAATTCGATACTCCAACGGGATCAAACTTTAGAAATTAAATGAGTGAGCCTCGCAAACATCCAGAATCAGAGGTCAAAACCCAGACGTTCATTCCCGGCCAGACCTTCATTAACTACAAAAACCGCTGAGCAAACGCCTATCCCTTTTTGAGTCCAGACCCACGGCCCAAATGAAACTTCTTGTCCCGCTCACCTCTTGGGTCGGCGGCTTGAGCGGCAAAGCAAGGGACGAGCAAGAGAATGATGAGGAGGAGTTGCATGCTGGAAACGATTTGTATCTGTCTTTTCCAGCCATGGTGCCCACATTATATAAGGTGCGATTGGGTGGATGGGCCAACTGGGACCAAGTGGATGAGTCATGCGGGGCCCTTTTCGGTTTGTGGTGCCGGGACGGGGTCCTGTTTTCCGCCTCCGCATCCGCGGGGGGTTTTGGACTCTGATGCCAGACGTTCCGCGGGGGTGGTGTTTGGCACATCACGTCATTTTTAGGGCGAGATGTCTCGTTGTTAATGGGGAGCATGATAGGCGTCCAGCTTCTCCTTGAAGCCGATGGGATTTTTGTGAGCGTCGTCTTAGTTAGCGGGTCGCTATTTTATTTCTGAAATTTGAGATTCTCCTATTATTAATCTCTTTCCTATTAATTTTAGGAACCCTGCCTCGTTACGACCAAGTCAGGCAAGATTTGGATGTCAAGTTAAAATGTTCGAAAAATTGGCTCGATATTTCGGGAAAATTGTTCGGGTTTTTTTAGCTTGCTGGTGAGGTTTGCAAGAATCGGGTCACAACTAGGTATTTATTCTGACGCCGACATCGTTATTTACCTACAGAGTTCGTTCAAATATTTTCATGCTACGAGTTGGCTACAGTCGACCATAATTTACCTACTACCCTCACTCTTACAGATTAAGCAATCCGCCTCACCGCCCGGAAACAGACGACTTCTTACCGAAATATCATAATTAGTCTCAAGCAACGCCTTCCAAGACACACTTCTTCTTCTCCTCTGAAGGGAAACGCAAAAGGACCTCCCATCCAGCCTGCCCTGGACGTTTTTGCCATGCGCCCCCGCCGCCGCGCCCCTTCTCCTTCTCCCCGAAAATGTTAGATTTTAGCGTGGGTAACCCGCTCCCCGCCACGAGGTCTGTCTCGCAAAAATAATGATTTTTGCATAATTTTTAGCAGTGTTTTTGTGCTTTCCCACGCACGCTATCTATTCTACAAAAAGTGAAGTGGCAAGCTGAACCAGCTGATCACTTCGGTCTAACTGACCAAGGTTCAAACAGTCGGCTATTGTGATGGATTCATATAAAAATTTATTGTTTATGGATGATGCGTCAGTGTCGCTAGAATCAAAAGCAAGTAAGTATTTTGTTGCTATTTTCCGAGAGTCGACTAGAACTACGCTTTGCTGCCTCAATGGTGTTGCTAGTTGTTGTGTCCATTACAGCCGGAGCCTGCGGATTTTGTTGCTATTGGGTGTACCGGTGAGTCAAAGAAATTAAAATTTGAAATTTCAAATAGTGGCATTCGCTTCTTCTCAGCCGCAAGCAGTGAATCTGTGGAAAATATTACATTGAATGTGATCACAGTTTAATAAATTTCTATTTACCCCGAACGGCTAGTTAACAAGATAATTGTTTATTACTTCCAACATAATCCGTATTACAACCTTTTCGACATGATGACACAGCAGAGGCTTTTACGGGATTAAGGAAAACTGGCGGTTTGTATGGAAAGGACAATCGGGATGGGAGGCTTTTGATTGGGACAAAAGAGAAACCGGTTTTTTCTAATGCGAATTTGAATAAGATAAATGCACATAGGGCCAATTAAAGCCGTAAAGTAAGGCGGGGATTCATTTTTAAGGCGGAATTACCGACTCATAAACGTGCAAGCATTGGCTAGAATTGTAAATTGTGGCTAGAATTTAGGTTTGGTAGAGCGGGGGCGACTGGTTGCGCAGAACCTATTTGAGACCGCGGAGGATATGGAGGAGGCATTTGTGCTCGTCGAAATCGTTCGCGCCCTCTCCGTGCTGTCGGTCGAATTCTTCGATGAAATCGACAATCTGCTCGCGCTTTTCAATCAGATAGGCCTTGATGTCTTTCGGCATTAGCGGGTTCACCAGGAACAGCTGAAAATTCGAAATTAGGGTGAGGTAGACGATAAGGTATGCGCAGACTATTAACACTCAAAATCAGACTTGAAAAATTGCTGCTTACTTGCCAGATTTATAAAAAAATCTTCATTAATGAAATTCACATTCCAATTTTATAAAATCGGTTCCGGCTAAAAGAACTTTCGACTTGCGATTGAGCGCCTTGAAAAACACCAGGCAGTTCGATGCACTAAAGTGACGAATTTTTTCGCGGTAGCGCGCAAATTTTGGGCGGGAAAACCAATCATTAGTGCGCCGAGCGATTAATGCATCTTTTTAGGAAAATCTCTAGTATATATAAATTTTTCTTTAATATTATCCGATCCCAAAAAACAAACCTTGAAGCAATGGAACGACTCAATCTGAATATTCTCGATCGGGTCGTGCGTCATCAACTTGGTGACACGCTCCAGGTTTGCAAGATCCCCAACGTAGCGCACCATGATCTCTTGGTAGAAAGGATGAATGAGGAATTGCGGGAGCAGCTGGATATTTCTTTATAGTATGGCAAGAAGCCACGTACCCTGAGCGCTTCACGACGCACGATGTATTTGCTGCAATCCATCAACTTGTTGTAGGCCTTGAAGACGCGCTCATAGTTATTCTTCATTAACTTAGCGGTAAGCATGCGCTGGCGGACGAGGAGGGCCTGGAAAAGCTTAGAATTGTAAGTTTCAAGCAATAGACCAGACCTCCAACAGTTCCAGAGCAGTGACACAAATGGTATAATCAGCGGAGAAGGCATGGGTAAAGATGAGGTAGAAACGCTCGTCCTCGTAAAGGATCTAGAGATTCAGTTATTGTTTGGCGTGACGGCGATACCTTGACCAAACGCTCGTGGGCAATACACTCGTGCATCATCCTAGTGAAAGCCGTGTTGGTCTCGATCTCGAAGCAGCTAAATAAGACGGATAGGGTCGAATTAGATAAGTTCCAAAAAACCCCATGTAGATGCTCATGAACGATTCCGGACGAGCGCGGAGATACTCGACGGTCGGGGAACATCGGTCGATCTCGCGACGGAAAATGGTGACAAAGATATGGGCGGCGTTCTAAAGTTTCGTCCAATGATGAGAGTTATTTCCCTGACCACTCTCTCCTGCGTGTGCAGCAGATGCATGTAGGCAATGATATCTCGGAAGATGTTGTTGACGCGAAAATGGTGGGCCAATGCAGCTACCTGAAGCAAAGGCTACTATCCTAAGAATTGCGCTCACCAGGCGAGAACTCGGGTCCTGCCCCTGGACGATATCCAGCACCTGATTCAAACGCTTCTCAACCTAGAACAGAGTCCGCCTTGAAATATATGGAGCCTTACCTTGTGATGCGCACCGGGGACACCTTGCTCCAGTTGGGAAAGGGAAAGCTTCAGCTTCGTGGTCACATGATGCGGGTCAAAGACCGAGCGACCCTTGAAGCACGACCACAACGGCATTTTCCAAATTTTCTAAACTATTCTTTTCGCTTGTTTGCAAAGAATTTTAAAAGTTCCTTGATCAATGTATAGAGAATATCGTTAAATTTAAAGTTTATTAAATCGCCCCAGTAATGCGTTCCTAACGCTAGGTCTAACATATCTCGCGCGAGCCCTTGAAGGGGCTAACTATAAAGATATCTATGGAAACGGCCAAAAATGCCGACCGGGCTGGGTTTGCCGAACGCTGGGACAACCCGAATGAAATGAATCTACACATTGGTATTCTGAGCCGAGCCGACAGTCCCTTTACTGCCGAATCTCAGCAGCCAAAACATAACCCGCCGGCACCCCCGAAATTGCGAAATTTCAGATGGAGACATCTGATAATAGGGATCTAGGCGCGATGACTGGATTGTAAAAATAGACTCGATGGGTTGGATGCGATGTAGATTGACCGGTCAAATGATCGTGGATGAACGGGGTCTGACAAGCTCACAAAAATAAATCGCGAAGAATGAGGGTCGCTGTCGAACTTGGGGTACGATATCAATAGAGTTTCGCCCTCAAAGGGGGCAGCTAGACTATAAATGCCAAGCCGCCGCTAGGGTTTTAGGTAGTATCGTTAATTGCGACCTAAACCCACTACCTCACGGCATTCTTTGGACTGGTGCTCCCATAGCAAACGCTCGAACAAAATGATTGAAACTGAGTCCCAAAGGTTGTTGTGAACGCTCAACGGTTGCGTTGCGCTAAAACACGAATGGAACTTTGTGACGTGAACCTGAATATACCCTTTGGTCGGTGGGGCATCGCTTATTAACTGAATACAACTGACAGGGGCTCCTATTCTCCGACAAAATTGAGATCCAGTTCCATGCTTAATTTTTGTAAATACCGCATTCTTTGAGGGCCCAAAGATAGCTGCAGATTAGAACCTACATTTTACCTTGGGTATAGGTAAGACCAGTGGAAACAGTCGGCTTCGCAGCCCTTTTACACTTGACCCTTTCTTGCAAACATAAATTTTAGCACTAGTCTTGGAGCCTGCGGCGCGAGAGCGTGAGCCCAGGAATCGTGCTTTGGCCTACGGCGCCAGCAGGCCTAGGATAGAGTCTTTGAGTCTGCGGCGCTAGTTGCTGCTGCCGGGGTTCCTACCGCCTAAATCGCCGAGAAATTTTTTTTGCTGAATTACCAAAAAGCAAAAAATTGCTTTCACGGCGGATCCGAACCCTCGACTCTCTGCGCGTCATACCCACGCGCATGCATTACACCGAAACTGTGGATAGTCTGCGGCGGGCTTCGAGTCGAAGGGATGGCCCAACCACCCGGAAAGGCTAGGTAGTTCACTTTACAAAATACCATTTTTGAGGCATCCCGCTCGAAATTTGTAATTTGAAATTTAAGTTAGTAAGATGCCCGTGAGCCCCACCATCGACTAGATAAGTGGTCCAAAATAAGGCCCGAAATTCCATGCGGACGTATATTTATGGTCCGAACACCACGGCAATTTTCGACGGGTTTTTGCCGAATGTGTTTCTCGCCTCCATGCCAAAAATCAGGTCGAAATTCAGCTGTACAAAAAAAACGCTAGCTCCTTTATAGGATAGGATCGCTTTGGAAAGGCCTGCCATTGGTTTGGGAATGAATTTAGACTTGAAACGGTAAGTGTCGTACAAAAAAAAGCGGGAGAGAAGCCCGGGGCAGAACACGGAGCCGGTGAATGGTAATTTCACATGGGTATATGGGGGTATGGGTCACAGTGCCGAGACACCAGTTCCCAGTAGCCAAAATATAGAGGGGCGATCAGTTGTGGTAAGAGAAGCCTTCGAAATAGACGGCCTAGATCTAGATTCGTGATAGGTCGGGCGGTCAGGATACGTCAGGAGCCGATGATGTGAAAGACACACCCTACCAGGAGCTGTGCTGGTTTTTAAGCGCTATCAAAATTTAGAAACGTAGATGAAAGCGTCCAGGTTTACATAAAAAATCTTGAAAGGCAAAGAAAGAACCTAGCGCAACGTGGTGAATTGATCGGAGGCATATAAACATCACAATTTTTCCTTGTTCAATGAATCAAGCTGAGCTTGATCCAAAACAACACCGCGAGACACGCGCCGCCCGAAAAAAAGCAAATTCGTTTCTCTCCAGCTAAATGATGATGCGTCATTCCGTTAGGGGCCAAGAAAGCGAAGAAACGGTGGAAAGGTGGAAGCGCCTCCCAGAAATACAGGTATGCGCTGGCGAATAAAATTATGGCGGCACGCCAAATGCGTGAACGACGGCATGGTTCTTGCCCGTGCCAGGCCAAACTGAATCCATGATTAAGTTGGGATGATGCTACGCCCGAGGCCGTTGAAACAGACGGTAAACGTCAGAAGTGTAATTTTTGCAAAAGCCAGTGAGTAATTGTAAAATCCAAAAAAATGCAAAATGCGGTCTGCCAACAAGGCTCCGCCTTTTCGCCCCCTGTTCGTTCATTAGAAGCCTGGATTTATTGATATTGGTAGGAGGGGGCTAATTGATTTGCCGGCAACCTGGCGCTCCGGGCTATTGATCGTCGAGTGAATCGGAGGGATGCTTGAATTTTTGTTGTTTATGCCGTGAGGTGAATTTATGAGCGAAGGATTGATTGTTTCGATGTCTCCATATTCATGCCGCTTGTTCTCAGTTGAGGGAGCCTTTTGCCGACGGACTCTCGACTTCTTGTCAGATTTTCTGACTATCGACCTTTTTTTACACTTTAAATCAAGATTTATTCGTTTTACAAATTTAAAATGGTTTTTTGTTTAAGGAATTATTGGCTTGGATGCCTAAAACAATTTTTTTCATGAACATTTGCGACTTTGCGGCCTTTTTCTTTACCATTTCGCTAGCCTGCTGTCTATCGGGCTCTATGTGCTTCTCTCTCTCCTCTCACCCCTCTCTCTTTCTCTCTCTCTCTCTCTCTCTCTCTCTCTCTCTCTCTCTCTCGGACCCCCCTCACCGTGCCTCCTGCCCTAGGGCCAAAATTCAAAGCTCCATCATGCCTAATCAATTTTTTAATACTTTCACGCCGAGTTCGGTACGGCGATCAAACCCATAAAGAATGTCAACCTTTTGGAACGAACGCGCCCGCGCGTCCATGATAACGAAAAAGAATTGCTTTGATTGATGTCTAGCCATGTGGCGAAAAGGGCTATATTTTGTGACCTTCACCGCTCCAGAATAACAGTAAACTAGTGAAAAAGGCCGCTATTCGTGTGCAGTTTTGTAAATCATCACCGCGAGAAGGTATTGAAGGGGGAAAATGTGTTTATTATGGGATCCCGAGATCAGATAACGCTGTCAAACAAATACCCGTAAGTCAAAATAGCATATAGCTGCAGCTAGGTACAAGGTAGTGGACCGGGTTTAGACCGATCGATGGCTTTTTAGGGATGGGCGGGGTCCGAGGCCATCTTCGATGGTTTTGACGTCGAAATTGAAACGCACACCGCTATCGTTGCACATTCTGGCTTGTCGTACCTCGCGAAGGTAGACGAAGCATCTAAAATTTGCATTTTTTTCCTTGATTTTCTGGACTAGGGCCCTAAATATATGTAGGAAAAGAAGCCTAGGAATGCGAAGTATCTTTCTTTAAAGCCACTTACTTGTAAGCAACATGAAAAAACCAGACGCACAACACCATGAATATCAAAACCAGCATCACCATAAAAACAGCCGTCATGCGAATTACTAAAAATAAATTATGGCATTCCGATAAGCACTTACAAAAGGTCATTTGTGGTTTTTTGTGCACGACCAACTCGAGCTCCCTTTCTTCGATACTGACCGTATTATTTCTAAAATTTCTTTCAACAAACTCAACTATCAAAATACCTGATAAATTGGCTAGCCGGTGAGTCGACATCGTATAAGGCCCACGCGAACATAAAGAACACCACAGATAACAAAAGAAACTTCAGAATCTAGAGCAAATTTAGAAGATCAAGGAAACTTATTTTACCTGGTCAACAAAGAAGGGGACAAGAAAATAGGGGCTCTCCCTTTTCACGGCGATCACGGCACAAATCACGGAGCCAATGTGAAGGGGAAGGATGAAGCACTAATGGAACGATAAAGCCAGTTGAATCCCACTTACAATGTGTATAATCAAATCAGTTCTGCTCTGTGCCAGCGATATTAGGCAATACAAATCGATGAAAACAATGAAGGCGTAGATGATGGCAATGATGAGCATTCCATGCTAAACTTTGCCGTGATTTAATTCAAGATAAAGATAGGGCACTTTCTAAATTGTTAAATGCACGTTTAATATCAATTTTGGCACCAAAAATCGCTTGGGCGAGGAGACTGACCTTGACGTGGACGGAGCCACAACAACACCGGAATCTCCCTTGAGCATGATCAAATTTAACGATTGGTTCCGTCACTTCCACAGACATTTCCTGCAATGGTAAATGAAGATAATGAAGGGAAATTATTGGAATGATTGGAGGAAAAAGGAACCTGTAACGATGGGGTTTTAAAGTGGCTAATTGAACCGAAGCGAACAAAAAACAGCCAAAAGGCGTGAGAGGATTACACAAACGCGTTGGATTTTTCCACATTCGAGCCGTATTACTACCAAAAAGTTGCGTTGCGTTGCGTCGAAGAGCGAATGAAGGTGAAGAAGATGGAGCATTCAATACAACAAAAATATGGCAGGAACGTAGAAATTGACAGAAAAATAGAGCACACGAGTGCTTTTATCTCCTCACCACAACCCGACAGAACACTGCCATCCCCGAAACAGTGAATAAGTGGTGCCGTTCTCGCCGGAAATTTCTGAACAAGCCACCCACCCTCTATTCCCCTTCTATAACTAGACATTACCCGGAAGACATGCAAATTGATCAATCTGTTGAAGCAACAGATTGATCTTCAAAGCTTTGCGTTTTGTGAGAGAATGTGGTGGCCTGAACGAGGGGGATGTGCTATAAAAGGCGGACGAGAAGATTGCTATAAGACAGAGACTGGCGATCTGTGGTGCTCTTCGGCGAATTGGGTGCGACTCCCCTTGCCCGTCTCTCTCGGTTGTCTCTCTTCTTGAGGAACACCAGCATCGACTGACAAACTACAAAAGATAGCCCGACGCTGGTGGAAGAGGTTGTGGACGACGAGGTAGAGGGTGGAAAAGTCAACTGGTTCTCCCCCTTCTGACCTCTTGGGCAAAAGATAGGAGGGTGAGTTGGGTAGATTGTGTGACTGGAGAACCTGAGGAATGTTGAGCATCACCAAAGTTCGTAGATCGTCTGCATGGATGTAATAAGTTCGAGGACATGTTGTAATGTTTAGCAAGGAGTTGTGGGGAATTTTATGATTTTAAGCCAACCTACAAACGGGAACAGACTACGGATAGCGCGTGGTCTGAAGGACAAAATTTGTAGGAAGACCCTAGCAGAGATTGTTTGGTACAGGGTGTCCTAAAAAAAGCCAACCCTCTTGGCGATCCACAGTCATCTTCGTTTTTACGTTTTAGGTATCCTTCAAAAGCTCGCAGCGAGCTGAGGAAATCTGCTGCTCCCCGATTCTCCGAATTCCCTGACTTTTGCTTGATTTTTGCGTTTTTCATGCAAAAGTTTTAAGTTAAGCCACACGGTTGTGTGTTGTGTGTGTGTTGTGTAAACTTGCAAAGATTTTTTTCCTTTCATGGGAAATATATCAGAAATTTTACCCATATCGCAAAACCTTAGTAAAATTCCAGAGGCCGCTAGAGGTGGTATTTTTGGGACACCTTGTGGAACCAATAGGAAAAATCAGGGCAGGGATGCAAATTCAGCCGAGAATTACAAGCAGGAGATAGTCAAACTTTATAGGTGTTGGTATAAGATGAAGAACCATTTTCCCCAACAGCCAGGGTTCAAACCCAGGACTTTCGTGCAATTAAGCGAACAAGCGTTGCTATTTCCCGAACCAGCACCAGGTGCCAGACATCCAGAAATTCCAAAAAATACATGAGTGAACTCGCCGATCAGCAAGTACGAATCATGGATCGAGAAATGGAAAGAGGGGACGAAGGGGGGGGGGTATTCCCCAGACAAAGAAACGTCAATATTTCCTGTTCTCGCGCGTCTTTTCACCATCGGTCTCTCTCACTCGTTTTTTGTCCCTTCGATATCCTTGGTTATTTGGGTAAGCTTTGGTCATCCAGATAGGATTGTCTCTGTATCTGGGAAAATGTATGTTCCTTTCTAATACTGTGCATACAAAGAACTCATCAATTTTGCATAATAAACATATATTTACATTTGACTAACGAGAGTATTCGCCACAAAACCAATGGGGTTACTAAAATTATTATTATGACTGCTAATTAATGCGTGAACATTAAAAAAAATCCCCATATTAATGCAGCACCCGAAATCATTGCGTACGAACGACTTTGGCAAAGCATAGATATATGCCTATAATGGTACCCGAAATCCCAAAGTGTGTGAACGGATGGAAATTATGCGCTAGGAGTCTTTGGAGAGAAGAAGAGAATATGGGTTTGAAAGAACAATAAAGGTGTGGGACTATCGCTTGATGAGCTGGACAATTTGTTGGAGGTGAGTATCAAGGTTATGGAGCAGCTCAGAGGTGACGGTGGTTGAGGATGAGGCAGAGGAGGAGCGGACTTGACGGGCCAATACCTCGACGCGGTTGAGAAGTTCACTGAAATTTGCGTTTTGTTGCATTAAGGTGAAGGTGATTTCCGGGCTTGGTCTTAAGATATAAACATGACTTACCGGTATCGGAATTTACTATGCGGGCTGATCATCTCTGCATAGATTTGGCAATTCGAGTGGAACTGTTGCGTACGATCGCCCAGCTCGATCAGATTTGGTTTGCCCTCCATGGCTGATCGGAGACAATCCTCGATGCGTTGGGCTAACTCTAGCACGCTTTCCTGAAAAACAAGACATTCGTAGTTCGGAGGCTTCTAAAAATCTTAACTATTAATTACCCACTTTGCTAACACTTTGCTGCTCCGAATGCGAAGGTGCAGCATGATCCATCTGGCCCATCATCGGTGGATTTTTCGGCTTCTCCATCAACGACAACCGCTTCGGATTCAGCCCAGTCCGCAGTGGTGCGGCTTGAACTGCTAAATCTGTGTACAAAACCCTCCCATTTTCCTCTCTACCTGTATTCAGTTGCTCAAATTTGGTAGCAATGTCCCTGAGGGAGTGTGTCCTTGTCATCACTGCCTCGTCTTCGCCCAATTTCGCCCCTCCCAGCCGTTTATTGTTTTCCGGTTTCTCAGGGGTTTTCTGAAGGATAGGATGTCAATAAACGACTAAATCTCTTACTTGAGTGCGTTGCAGAGTGGAGAAATGACGAGGTTGCACATCAGGGATCTTTGTGCTCAATGCGGGTGAGGAGCAGTCACTTTCCTCTGAGGCATCAGCTACCGAGAAGGGTCGATGATGTTGCAAGGGAGCAACCTTTTGAGTGACAAGGTTTCGAATACGTGCAGTCTGAACTTCAGGACGATCCGGGTTTAGGTCCATTGAATCCCTAGCATCGGCTGTTCTTGGTCTTTCATCTTCGGAACGACGATTCAAAATCCTATCATCATCTCCATCTCCTTTCTCCGCGCTGAAATGAGGCCTTTCGACATGCCTCAAGTTCCGGATGCGATTCTGCAGTTCATAGTCTTGTTCCTTATCGTCAGACTTTGGTTCAGCACGAACTGTTCGTTTGGTCTTCCACATAGGAGGAGTTGATGGCTCCTCAGCAGGCGGTGGTGGTTCGCTTCTCCTTGGTCTTGGCTTTGGCCTCGGTTGATCTCCATCGTCCCGTTCGGTTCCTCTGGTTGGTGGGATTGGTCGTGGAGATGAAGATGGGGCAGGGGATGGTGTGTCCTCACCGGAAGCCGATTGAGAACTGACCGGCGACTCGGATTTGGTCTTCTTCAGCCTTGATTTCAGTTGGGCAAGCATCTGACTTTGCGAATCCAAAGAGTCGTCGTCTGGCACTGATCCGGTCATGCTACCCGCGTCCTCTGATTCATCTAAATTAATGTTGAGGTTAACCATAGCTGACTAACCGTTGTTCAGGCTCTGCAAGTAGGCATCAATCCTTTGACCTTTTGGCATGGTGCCAAGCCGACCTACGGTCTTCCTTAGGTGACGTTCAGCCAGAGGGGTTGGGGAATGAGCTGAGTCATCTGAAAAGATGTTTCATTGGTATTTGGGGAATAGGTTACCATGACTGTTGCTTCTTGGATGGAGGACATTCATCAAAAACTTTGGCTTTGTTGATGCGGGTGGAGGTAGGGGTTGACGGGATTGATGTTCAGATGGTGGTGGGGGGAAATCTGAGCATAATCCGACGGATCTTCTAGCTGGAGAATGGGAGACGTGCGGGGCGATGGATGCTACTTCAGATCGTCTGGCTCTGCGTTGACGAGACATTTCAAGCTGGCGATCGACCTGCAAATAAAAATCAGTAAGGTAAACTTACAGCCCTCAAAAATAGGCAAAGCATTTGTAAGAGAAATTGGATACAGTTGTCATTTGAAATGTTTTGAGTTCTAACTAGAAAGCGTTGTTACCATTGTCCTAATCTGAGCCCTGAACGTTGGTTAGTATTTTCCACATTTCCGTACCTCTTCATCAATGTTATTATGCGGGAAGAGATTGAGCAAAGAGTCGTGGATATTCCTGAACCGTGGCCGATCGGATGGGGACCAGTTCCAGCATTGTAGCATCAACCGGTATACCGCTTGGGGGCATCCATCAGGGCAATCCATGCGGAAACCCTATGCTGGCGATATTTGGGCATAGGAATGTGGCGTACCTTTTCCAATAGGCTGTAAACATTGCTCAGCTCTACGCCTGGATACGGTGCCATACCGTAGGTAGCGATTTCCCAGAGCAATACACCGAAAGCCCAGACCTAAAAGAATGTATTATAAGCATAAATGAGGAACAACTTACATCACTCTTGGTGCTGAACGTGTTGAACGCCAGGCCTTCGGGCGCCGTCCATTTGATAGGGAATTTTGCTCCAGCATGTGCTGTGTACGTATCTTCGCGCATAAATCGGGCGAGCCCAAAATCAGCGACCTTCACCGCGTTGTTCTTTCCGACCAGGCAATTTCTCGCCGCCAAATCCCTAAAGAAATATTGATAGAATTGAGGATGTTTCACACCTATGGATGAAGTTTCGGCCCTCAAGGTATGCCATGCCGGCGGCAATTTGGGTGGCCATATGCATCAGGGTTGATGGGCCCAGGGAACTTTTGTCGGAGCGCCGTAGATAGTCCAGAAGATTGCCATTGCACATGAATTCGGTGATGATGAAGAATGGAGGTTCACTAAAGGGAAAATATTACGTAAATTATTTTTATATGTAATTCAGTAATAATAAAAACCTACACTGTGCAAACTCCAAGGAGCTTGACCAAGTTGGGATGTCGCAGTTCTGTCATAATGGCAGCTTCAGCTAGGAAATCCGGAAGAGTCATGGCCTCTTTTTGGGTCTTGACCGCAACCGTCTCATCCCTGTTCTTCCAGTAGCCTTGATATACATCACCATATTGACCACCACCAAGCTTGCAGCTCATCGTGATCTCGGTTCGATCCACTTCCCATCCTTGAGGTTGGAAGGGGCTCATTGAGAACCCCTTGGTCTTATGTTCCCTTCGTGGGGCAGGGTAGACCAGACTGCAGATCAGTCCATCAGGATGGTTGCCGTGATGTTGGACCAGCTCATTCATACTGTTGAATTTGCTTTCTTGAGTGATGAAGAGCTAAAATAACAAACATATCCAAGCACAATTTTTCTAACTTACCCTTCCATCAGCATCAATATTAATCCGGTAATGGTAGACACGGGCATCATGGCGTACAGAAATGCTCCATTGCCCAGGCACCGATTCACTCTCTCGCACCAAGTACGACCCGTTGATACCAGAAGAGAGAAGCTCTTCAGATTCAGCCCGCGAGATCTTGCCGTGATACCTAATATTTTAGATTAGGCGATTATTTTCGTTTACCTACCAGCTATATTTATCTAGGGAGTGATCAAGGCACACATAATTTGTGGGTAGCCAGCCGACCATGCCGATTCGTTTGTGGGAAGCTGGGTCGTTTCTTTTCGTGGCTACGAGGCGGCCTTCACACCATTCACCCGTTTTGTTGTAGCAAAGGAGGCGGATCTGAAGGTAAAAATAATATAAACAAAGTTGGGCAATTGGGCAAATTCGTTTGATTTTGAAACAATTATCTTAGCAAACTAAAAGTAGAAAGTTTGAATAAATTATTATAATTAAATAAATTGAATAATTCTCAAAACTCACATGATCCCCTTTCCTAATCGATAATTGATCCTCTCCAACACCGTTGAAATCGTAGAGGGCAATGTATAGGGCCTTCTCTTGGCCCATCGCCAACGAAGAGGCCCCACCCGCAGCCGATATTGAGGCGAGGTCTTCTCTGAAAAATCATTCTTAATTATTTCATAACTATTTCTAAATACGTCCTTGGTTTCTAGGTACCCAAATAGAGGTGAAAGTAAAAGTGGGCCAGCTGGCCCAAAGGAGCAGGAAGGAAGCTCGAATGGATGAGGCGGGGGCGCCTTTCGGGGAATGCAAAATGGATTCGCTAGGGGGTAAAAGGTTGGGTTTGTTGGAGATGGATAGAACCTGTTCAGGCTTGTCAAATACGGATGGAATATTTGTTGTTCGGCCGGCGCCTGAAGATGGGCGGCCTGTATGCCATTAGGGGTGGATGGGCAGATTTGGGAAAGGAGGGGAAGCTCGACGAGCCTCGGTTTTTGGGATTGTGGCGGATCGAGGTCAAAGTTAAAATAAAGCTTAAAGCGCGTGCACCTACAGCAAGGTAGAGCAAACAATGTCGATTTTTATCATCTGGGATACAGGCGAGGTCAAACCCCCATGGAACTAGGCCAGCACCCAAAAACGCAACCTTCTATGCAAATCTCCGACACAACAAGACCGACCATCGGCTTAAGCGATTACACGATATAACCCCTCTAGCGTTATGGGACCAGGGGTCGAAATCGGGGCGGCTATCTGGTCCGTAAAGTCCTGCGGGGGGGCTTGTGTGTGTATGGGTGCTGGGATTCGGGCGTCATATGGGACGGAATAGGGAGAGGGGGGCAAAGGGAATGGGTATCTGAGGGATTACTCGTGGGAGTATTGTCGATAACCGGCCCGCTCTAGCAGCAGTCAGCTCGCTCTCTCTAGTAGTAGCTCTCCCTATAGATCTCTCGTTTCGCTATCCGTTCAGGCGAGCGTCGATTTGCATGGTTGTCGGGGCATCTGGGTGGGGAGTAAAAAAGCGGGTAGCAAAATGGCAAGCTGGTTTTTTTGGCAGATACATAATTCAGAGCGATAGAAAGGAAGCGATAGATATAAAGAGCGAAAGGGAGCGTGTAAGGTGGAATGTATCGTTAATGCGTTAAAATTAACTGACAAGGGAACCACCTAAGGTCGAGGTGGCGTTTCGTTATGGGACCCAGCCCATTTTGTGTAGAATTTTTTGCTGATTCCGAACCTGCTTTCAATTTTTGCCAAATAGCCCTATTTAAAAAGTTACGGCGATTTTAAGATCATATTTGAGCCCGCGGGCGGTCATCTGTCACGATGCCCAACCTTTTTGTTTTAATATGTCAGTCCATTTTAAATAGCCTATCTTGTAGAGAATTTTTTCTGATTCGAATGGTATATTTCATTACTGCGCTACTGCCTATCGATGATCACTTATGGGAGTGTGAAATAGCCTGTTTTTCACCATTTCCCATACAAAAAACGAAGTCCATACCAAGTATCGACGATTTTTTCGATTTCCAACAATTTTGAGTTAAATAGCTCATTCAATAGAGAAAAATTTTCTGAGTACGATGGCAATATTCGTTTTTGATGAATCAGCCGGGAAATGCAAAATAAATGGCCTTGAAGTTGACAAATTTGGGAAAAAATGGAAGTGTGGGGGGTTAGTGTGTGGTCTAGAGATGTTACACAATTTTAGGCGGCGTCGGAATAATCGACTAACTAGGATGCAAAGAACAAAAGATCAGCCATCTAAGCAATTATTATATTTATCAAAACATTCTTCTTATAATTAAACGCTTCATCACAAATATACGCGCCTAGTAATCCTTAGCAGCCTACTGGTTTAGCTCGTAACACCCCACACTACTCTTCCCCCTCCTCAATTCCAAAAACCCCTCCCACCATTCACAAACGCACAAAGGGCAGCTCAAGTTTCGTTTTCCTCTACGCTTCTCCTTTCCCCCCTTTGGACTACCAAAGGGGCGGTAAGCTGCCATCGTCAGCTCGAGTCAACCAGGGTAAGCGCCAGCCGGCTAATAATGGTCAGAACCGGTCTCCCCACTATGGAACGGCCCTCTCCCCCCGTGCAATTGGAGAAGTGCCGAGGAAATGGTGTGCACGCCGTGTCTGTGTGCCATTGCTGATGGGCTGTCCACACGCACCGTAACGATAATGGGGGGTGAAAGAAAGTGGCTGGGCGATGGGCTGGCATGTTGCAAGGTGCAACAACGTGACAAGGGGGAGGAGGTTGGAGACTAGAAAGTGATACGTCCCTCGAAGTATTTGGAACGTCTGGAAGCGCTTAGGTTATAACGGTTTAAGATTAATTCGATCCGGCTGAGTCAGGGATCGGCCAAATCAGCCAAATCAGGACCTAAAAATGACATTTTGAGGGTCAAAGACTGATTTTTGTACGTTCGGGTAACAAAATTACTCATTGCCCGGTTTGGACGTTGTGAGCCAGGTGGGTTGCGTGTGGGGAAAATTTACGCAATGCATATAGTCTCTCTCTCATATAATTCCATGCCCTTTCAAAACTGCTACGAAATGGGTATTCACTAAACAAAACCGATTAGTCATTGTTGACTAAAGCCGTATCCGGTATCCGTGGCACCCGGATCAGCTGGTTGCGTGCCGGGCGGGCCCTCGAATCGTGGCGCCGGCCCAAAACATGCCACTCAGGCGAGTAATTTGTTCCGCAGCCACCCCCAGTAGGCAAGGGAAAGAAAATTATGGGCTTGGGATTGGAATGCAAAAAAAATATGGTTTGGCTGGCATATAAAAAAGCGTAAAGACCGGGCAAACGCTAAAAGTAGCTAATATAATAAAAAGTCTTATGCGTGAGCGCCAACCTCGCGAGCGCCTAGTCCAAATAGCGCCGAGAGAGAAAATTATGAGAAAATTATACAAAAATATGATTTGGTTTTATGGCAAAAATTATCGTCAACATTACTTAAATTTAATATTAGACCCCAAAAAAAGCTCCGCATTCCAAGCTAACGGACGGTTCAAGTAGTGTCGAGTGGAGTTGAATCGACAGCGCGACTACCCTTGAACGGAGGCTACCCCTCGAATCAATATCGAATATCAAGAGTCGCGCGGAGACACTTCCCCTCCGGGGTACACCACACGAAAAAAGGCGTTCGTCCAGAGGGAAGGCCCACCCGGTCGTGTCCCCGGCTAGGACCCAAGGAGGACCCACCTAGTGGCCACCACAATCCCGAGTGGACAACCGCCCTCAGCTTTCGCCTCTCTCTCAATCCCAGATCCCTTTCCACTCAAAAACAGTGGCCCCGATGCCAGGGCAACCTCAAGCAAATAGGGATTACAAGAAGTTCAGCGTTTTTCGGTGCAGAGATGTTCGAAAATCGGGTGAACTTGTCGGGTTTTGGAAGGAAAAAATGGATAGGTAGCGTACTTTCGGAGATGTTGGCTTCAAAAAAGTACAGCGGGGTAAAGAGAGAACTTATTAAAATATATCTTAAATCATAAATTAAATAAACTTAAACCTTAAAATCCTAAAGCCAATTTGGCACCATTAGTATATCATTTTACGCCAATTTGGAAAGATTTCACCTAGATTAGCATTTCTAGTCTAGTAAAATTAGGAAAGGCTGAAAGCATTTGAAGCCTTTAAATCAAGAATAGGGCATTAGTCTTATATTTTAAACGATTTTGCAAAAGCTACAGGTGTAATCCGAATTAGCATTATTGATTTAGCATAATTAGCAAAAAATAATCAATTTAAATCCCTGACCAAAGAATTCCCAAGATAAACAATCATAAAAACGCCGCAGCCTACTGGATTTTGGGCCCTGCACTGGGCCCAGGCCGGATGGCCAGGGGGTTGTGTGTATGTGAGTGGACACAAAAAGGGGATCGCTTTCCCCCCTCTTTCCCATCGTTTTTTCGTGTGTCCATCTCCTGGGATGCCAACGTGTACGGACAATCACCGAGTCCCCGGGACCCAACGGTGATTGCCCGCTTCCGGCATCCACCACCCAGCCGCCACTACCGCTACTACGACACTTGCTATATAGTCAGGCTAGGGCTGCTTTTTCGGAGAGTACGGCTAAGCCGTGGCTGCTGAAATTACCCTGTGGGGTAGAGCAGACTAGTTAGGGAGGGCAGTTTTGGGGCACGGGGCAGCCCAATTTTGTTGGGAAGAACAAAAGGAGGAGAACTAGAGAGAGGGTTGGCAGACTGGAAATAGGAGGGTTGCAAACTGAATTGGATTCATAGAAAAAATAGTGAAAAATTATAAACAATCGCTTGTGGGGGGGTTGAAACAGAGTGTGCCACCTAAACCCTTGGAAAACCAATTGATAAATTCAATTTGACGACGGAAATTTGACTTTAGGGATGAATATTCAAGCTTAAATTACTAATTTGAATTTGCAATAATGGCAGATAGCAGGAGAAATACTGAATTTGGAAAATTATAAACGATCCAGGTGGTCTGAAGCCGGGCTTGCAAGCTAAACTTTCGAAAAACTAATTAAGAAACTAATGTTTACAACACAAATTTGAATTACAGTTTGAAACTGTTAATATGAATTTTATTAATGGGCCAGCGCATCGGGGAAAGACTAAGTGAACGCAATAGCTCGATAATTGCAAGAGAAACGAGCACAAATCAGGAGATATATCAAAAAATGAGGTAACAAAGACCGACCAAAATTTCTATGGAGCTTAATGCATCCATCTGCTTGTTGTGCGCGTTCGGAACGCCTCACACGAAAGGAAAACGCCTAAAAAAGCGTCCCGTTTGGAAAGAACGGCCCGTCATTCCCGCGGTCCACACAAGGCCACCCGTCTTCCCGCGCACCGATTCGATTCTTTCAAGACCGACCAGCCACCCCTCTTTCCCCCGAAAACTAAAAGAAATTGCGAAAGGCCAATGGGAGTGCTAGCAGCAGTACCAGGAAACTTCTTTTGGGCCTTGTCCATTTGTGGATAGGGGTTGATCCGGCAAAAATAGCCTCCCCCTCCACACGCCCAGGCGGGTGATAAGCTTTGAGCGGCGCGGCGTCACCAAGAGGCCGAAAATAAAAGGAAACAGTTGGTGGTGGGCCCTAACTAGAGCTAAGGTGAGGTATTTGACAGAGTGGCCATTGGCTCATACAGCCAGGAAGCGAAATAGGACACGTATCCTGACGGGTGGGGAGGTAAGAAAAACGAGGGGGGTTTTGCAGAAAATAGCAACGGGTTTGAGGAGTTTAGGGATTCGGTTTCTGGTCATTTTACGAGAGTTGAGGTTTTTGACCGTCAATAGTATACAATCCTTTTTAAGTGTGGGATTCGAATGAGCGAAGAAGGGGGCAAATCGATGAGGAATTACGATTAATTAGCTTGGAAAATAAACATTGGTTTAAATCTAAGCACAGTTAAAAATGCAATCCTTAAAATCCAGGAAACTACGTTAATTAGCTTTAAAAAATCGCTTAATTGAACAAAATTTGAACGGAAAATTCCTGACAACTACCTAAATCTGCCAAAAACCCTTGAAAACGGTTGGTAAAATTCGATTCCCACCCGCACCAAGTCAAACAGACATTTCCAAAGACAAATGA